TGATTCTTGAACTCACCGTGGCTTAGAAGCTGTTTCTGTGCCACTCCAAGCAGCGCTGTGATTAGACTTTATGACTATATAAGAACCTACAGTATCTGCAGTGTGTGGCTTTTTCCTTATCACTGCATTTGAGCCAAAGAGCCCAGCATAAGTTTTTAAGAGACATTTAATAACGGTTAACACTGTTCTGAAGGTATTGTGATAATCCCCACAGACTGTTCTACATGTAGGATGTAGAAGATCAGGACTGAAATGTCTGTTTCATGAGAATGAAATGAATCTGGGCAGTGCTAAGTGAGGACAGTCAAATGTACTTGAGTTTAAGACTAGTGTGATTGTGATGTAGTGATCAGTCATTTTGGGATGAAGCTTAAATTGAAGTTGCCCTTGCAGCCTTTGGAGCTCAGATGCCACAAGCTCAGAGGCTTGATTGCCTTGTGAACTTGTGACTTTACAAAGGTGGCAGAGTTCATCAGCAGTGATATATTTATTTGTTTGCTTTTGGCGCACATTATTCACTGTTGGTGCATTGTGAGCCTGAAAGAACTACTATTGCCAAAACCATTTATGGATGTTTATCATGATCTTCTGAAATTCTAACTCACATTTCTCCTAGGAAAAGGATTTTTTTTTTATTTCACATGCTTCAGAACCACTAGAAACCGACCCAGGACTTATCATCCTAGAGACAGGGCCAGTGTTGTTTTGTTATGAAGTAACTCCAGGTAATCACCAGTGGATTATTCCACACCAGTCCTTCCTTTGTTGGGGAAATGTGAACACCCATGACCCTCCAGTGTAAATCTGCTTAAAACCATTAACTGTGTCCAGTTCCCTTAAGAGTAATAACACTGAAACACTGAGTGTGTTCTGTGGCAGCAGGAGGAGAGCAGGGTTATCACAAAAATAAATAGATATTCTGGTCACATGAGCTGACTTCATTAGATAGTGATTATGAAAATAGCTCCAACAATAGAAGGCATGTGCTTTTATGGTCATACTTAAGAGGTTTACACAATAGATGTCAGAATGGTTGTGATTTTAACATGTTAGATTTTTTTCTACTGGAATCTGTTGGAAGAAATGTGTCTGTACGGGATTGTAAAGTCCAGTTGGTTTGATTTATACTCTATCACCCAAAATCAGAACTGTTCCTCTCAGAGGGTTCTGCATGTGTACAGCATATAACCTCGCATATATACGTTGTAGCCAGAAGTAACTACATTAAAACTTACAGAACTGAGAAACAGAATGAGATTGTAGCAGTTTGTTGCAGAGTGGAATTTGACAAAATTATTTTTATAGAAACTTTTATAGCTGGTTAGAATTAGTAATAATAATAATTATCCCTTTGTCCCGTGTAACTCTACAAATTTTTTAAACATGAGAGGCAACAACCAGACAACCAGGTGCTTTGTTTTGGTTTCATGGTCCCCAAAGGTCTCCTCATGATCTCATACAACAGAGAAAGCTCCCTTTGACTCGTACTGATCTGGTCGTAGCTTCTAGATCAACCCATAGCCATGTACCTCTGCAGGTTGCTTTCGTTAGCTCCATGCTAATTAGTGTGAGGTGCTCATGCAAGCATAGAGAGCATGTTGTATGTGTGACGCTTCTAAGCACACACACAAGCATGCACAGTAATGTCTTACAATGATCTGTTTATCTCTGGACCTGAATGTAATTCTGGAAGGATATTTTTGTCTGTGTCTCAGTTTATCCTTAATTAGATTCCAGTGGTTTTTACTGTGAGATGCCTAGATATTTTTTGCACAGTTAAATTCAGGTCTAAACACACCCTATTAGACACACTATTAGTCAGTTATAACAGTATCTTGTATATTATCAAACAATAATGTGTTCTCATAATCATAATAAACCTGGACAGCCTCACACCCTCTCAAACGCACAGACTAGAGTGAGAACCACATCATATCTGCTGGCGTTGAAGGCTGCTGTCATGGGCAGGTCATTTTATGATGTGCGTTTATATCTGTGTGAGAGAGTGTAAGGTGACGGCAGACAAGATGGGAGGCATGTGCTCTTCTACCTTTGGTTTTGTGTAAATGCTTGTAAGAGTTTGCAAGAGCGAAGCCATAGGGAGCATCAGGTGGCTCATAACGAATGTTGGAGAAGTTAGGGAGGTGTTGAAATCCTGATATTGTGGGCAGCTGTTCCTCATTTTCTCTCTTTAGTCTCTTATGCCACCACTGTTCTAGTACTATTTGATGATTAATTAGCATGCGTGTGTGGTAAAACCTGTTCTAGTCACACACCCAACTCTTAAAAAGGCTTATGTATGTTTGGATTAGTGTGTCAGGCTGGATTTGGTACTATACACACACACACTTCTGTTTACTTCCTCTCTTCTAAAAGCATGAATGAAGGCTGTAATACTTTTCTCTTTTCATACATAATCAGCCCATGTGCTTGAAATCTGCACAAACTCACTCCCACACTTATCTCTGTGTGAGAGTAACTACACACTCCTATTAGCGCATGTACATATACTGTACATAATTAGGCCATATTATTAGCACCGCATGTTTGCTTGTACATTTATGTGCACAAATATGCGCATGCATGCATGTATGTGTTTTCCTGTGTGGGAAAATGGGCTGGTGGTGAACTGGAGCATGAAAGCGATAGTAAACTGAGGCCATTATCAGTGAAACAGCTCCACTCCTATTATGTGGCTGTTTGACTTGCACATTTACTGTGAGAAAACCAGAGATAAGGCATCAGGGAAAGCAGAGGTAGTTTAAACACATAATTAGAACTTGAAGCCTGAAGAGAATTCAGCATGCAAGGTGGCAGTGTTGTTGAATGTGAGAGGCAGTGAGATGGGTGTGGGAATGGAGGTGTGTGTACCGACTCAGACACAGGAGCGTACAGACACCGTAATGAAGCATGGCTGACTTTGCAGGATCAGTGGAAAAGGGAAGGATGTGAGAGAAGAGGAGGTCTGCGACAGGTCCATTATTTTGATACAAGATGGATCATAAGGTTGAAATCATAGAGTGAACAGGAGGGTGGAGTGAGCTGGGAAAAGAGACCTTCAAATACTTTGGTGGAAAAAAAATATTAGCACGACATTCACTGTCACATTATTCTTCACATTATGTTGAAGAGAGATGCTCCAATGAATGTTTTTATCTATTTTAGAAAATTGTGTCTGTCCACGTGCACTCATATACTCATTATATACTATTTATTCTAAAACAACTAAGGGACAGTTGGTCAAACACAACTTCACATTGTGCATTTTTTACAGTTCAGTGACTAGTATTTTGACTACTGTGTTCCTGTATCAATACATTTTATAGTTGTATTTACCAGTATGTTGATGTGTGTTATTTACTCCCTTTCCTTTGGTTTTTTAATCCTTTAATTTGCATATTGTCCATGGTACTATAGTTTTAGAGATGCTACAGTATATTATGCACCTGTTCTTGTACTTCAGCTTTCCGTTGTGGGATCAGTAAAGTTTATTTCAAGACATTTTACTGCACAAGCTTCTACCCACACACACAGTATTAACACTTGGCAGCCTCCAGTTTACCAGAACATTTTATGCCTTTGCAGTCATTCAGTTGTTTGTCTGGCTGCTATTACTGTGAAACTGCCAGGAGCAAAATTTCTTCCAAAAACGTAATTTTATACTGAAATGAGAAAGATCATCAGTGTAGTGTGGAAAACAGTGGTAAGCTGAATAAAGGACATGAGGTATTATAACCTCAAACTTGTGATGATGCTGAGCTCATGTAGGTTTGTCAAAATGTGAAACTCTTCCTCTGGTTTCAGATTTATTCAGATACACAGATACAGCTGTGTACAGTCACACACTGTTTCTCTCCTCAACTCTGCCACATGTACTGAGGTAAACCCTCGCGTGTCACCATGCACTGTCACTTAAGATACCCAGACTGCCTTTGTCGTTCTGTCATACTTGGAGCGTTACATCACTGGTTTGTCATTCTCAGTTGATGTGAGGGCAGCCAAGCAGCGTTCTTCTGGAATAGTAGGTTGTCATTATAAGCCAGTCACTGGAACGGCCTCTTCACTTCAATCAGCCTATCTCTGCTCTGTGATGTGAAGTGGTTGGATCAGCCTGTCCTCTTTCTCTGTCCCAGCCCTGGAAAATAATACAGCATGCTGGCTGTTGCTCTCATTGAATCACAGAGGAAAGAAGAGAAAGACTGAGAGAATATGAAGGAGGCTAAGAGGTAGTGAATAAGAGTCTTATCAGTGTTTGTGCAAGCATGCCTCTGTTTAATCCATGATTTCCTGTTTGGTTTAAGTACTGGTTTAGGTACTTCAGCCAGCTGTATTTTCTCCATTGAGTTGAAAGCTTATTAAATTTCCTCAATCTTCTTAGCTCAAATCAAGAGGGGAGGCAGGTGCCTGTGGCCTGTTTGGGCTAGTCTGGGCCAAGAGTTGAATATAGTTTGCTTTTGAACTGTTTGTTGGACAAAACAAGATATAATAACATAACCATGGGTTTAGTGAACTATTTGTGGCAATATATAGAAAAAATAAAAGTTGAAAACACTATCGGCTGTTTTGTTCTTGGAGCAGCTTGAGTCTGGTGTTGAAGTCAATTTGAGAACAACATTCATTTTGACACATATTCATCATGTTATCCTTAATGGTGTGAGATAAAATCACAGAGAGATGGCTTTGAGTGAATGTGACTCTTATTTACATTAGCATGTTCAAGCTGAATCGAATTGCTTTTTGTCATTATCGTTATCGTTCTAGTTGGTTGCTGTTTTGATAATTGGACAATCTCTGCCAAAATTGTGGGGAACTGATAGAGTCACTATATTCACCCTAAAGTTGAGCATACTGCTTCATCTAATGGTGTCTTTGGAAAAACCTCAACCCATCGAGCTAGTGACATATAAATGGTTATGTAATAGTCAATGTGCTACATTATTTTGCTGTTTCTCAGCATAATTTTAATACCTTTTTTCATTTTCTTGCCTCTTTCCTTTCAGGCTGCTGATCCCTCTTTTTGATGAAGACACTGGTCTGCTCATACTAGCTGGCATGGTAAGACATTCTGTCAGGTGATAATATTGTGCAATACCTTTAAATATTTATGCATGAAAAGTGTAGTTGCATCCCAATCAGGACTTTAGCAGTACTTTAAAGGTTCACTTTCATTACTACAATACATATTTCACATCTCTGCTGATAACTTGGAAGTATATTTTCTCTAATTTATGACTAAGCCTGTCTGGGTGATGTTCTCTCTTGTACAGGGAGACACTGTGGTTGATTGCTTTGAAGTCTCTTCATCTGAACCTTTCCTCTCTCAAGGTAAGAGTTGGTCATTCGTTATCTGTTCAGATCATCACATCCCCCTTCCTCCTGTTTCATCCCCTTGCTTTCTTCTTCTTCTTCTCTCACTTTTATCCTCGTAGTGAGCCACTGTCTGACAGATACCTCGACACGAGGTGTTGCCATGGTACCCAAGCTGGCATTGGATGTCATGTCCTGTGAAGTGATGCGTGTGCTGCAGCTGACAGACAGTTGCATTGTGCCAATCAGCTATCAAGTTCCTCGCAAGGTATACATGCAAAACACTGCTGACATGCCTGCACATAGGGTGGGTTCATAACACTGCTGTTTAAATGTGTGCTGTCTTCCAGCATTCAGGCCAAGAGTTTCATGAAGATCTTTATCCAGACACTGTGGGCAAGACTCCAGCCATGTCTGCTGATGAGTGGTGGCAGGGAGGGAACAAGCAGGTAATGGTTCTCTACTCACAACAAGTTTATCCGACCTTTTTGCTGTGTGGACGTCTCAAATGATTAGCTCTATTTGTCCTCAGGTGGAGAAAGTCAGCCTTCATCCAGACAAACGGCCCAAGCCAAAGGTTCCACCTGCAAAACAGATGCCTGCTAAGAAGGAGCTGGCCAGTGTGGGAAGCAAGGAGGTGAAAGACACATCTGTAGAAAATTATATTTTACTTTAAAACCAACTAAAAGCTAGATTTCCCAGAAGCATCTCACCATCAAGGTTCCACTGCTTCGCTATCATGAGTTTTGGGACCAGTAGCAATAGTAAAAACTAAAAGTTTTTATGCCTGATAACATTAAAGCCACATTACTGTTCTGCAGGATCCAGCACATGGCTGCTCCACATCCAGTAGTCCTCTGAGCACCCCCAGGAGCAGCAGCGCTGCACCGTCCCGCTCTCCCTCCTCCACCTCCGGTCTCTCCTCAGGCTTCCTCCCCAGCCCCAGTTCCAGCCGGGGCACCAAGGCTATCCAAAGCCTGCTTGGTATGAACACACACACTCCGTCATTATGGCATTTGTCATTTTGTAATAAATTAATTTAGTGGCAAAGTTGTTCATTTAAAATGATCTCTCATCCAGGAACAACCTCCAGGTTTCGTCACATCCAGGGTGCAGTGATGCATCGAGACACACACATCACCAATGTGCGGGGCCTCAACCTGACTACACCTGGTGAGTGTGACGGCTTCTGTGTCAACCGCCAACGTGTGGCAGTGCCCCTCGCCATCTCCGGAGGCCAGATCGCGATCTTTGAGGTAGATATGCTGCTGGAAATTATATTAGCTGTTTATGATTTAAAAAAAACAGTTTATTCTTCATGTCTTTTTTTTTTTTGCCTTGTCCTTTGATTACTTTGGAAAATGAACTGTTGTGTGCTAGATGTTTGTGAGGGATATTTTTCCTCTCCTCTCCTCAGCGCTCTCAGCCAGGCAAGCTACCAGACACAGCCTTGCCCACCATCCAAAACTCTGTAAATGTGGCCGACTTCTCTTGGGATCCCTTTGACACACACCGGCTTGCTGTAGGTGAGTAAAACCACATACCCTGTGTATGTGAGTGTGTGCAGCTGTGTGCTCTTGTCTTCTCACTGTTTATCTTGCATCTGAGCATGATTTAACTTTCTTGTTTCCCTTTCTGTCTATGCTAGCTGGTGATGATGCTAAGATCCGTGTGTGGCAGATACCACAGGGAGGGCTGAAAGAGACCCTGACCGAGCCTGAGCTCATCTTGCAAGGTATGACAGGGCCTGATTTTCAATATGACTACAGTTTAGTTTTCTCTCTAATAGACTTATTGATTGTCAAGTCTGACATATATATATGGATCAGTTTATATAGTTTCATGTATAAGAAGGTAATGATAGTCACATCAGAGTAAAATTAGACACCACTATGCCCCTTGTAGGCCACACGGAAAAGATTTACTCCATCAGGTTCCACCCTCTGGCCAGTGGACTGCTGGTGTCTTCATCCTATGATCTCACAGTCAGACTGTGGAACCTGGAGAGCAGAGAGCAGGTCAAACTCCTCACTGGACACCAGGACCAGGTTAGTGACCACTATCTATATCCTGATCAAATATTTGAACAAGTAACTACTAAATAAATAAAGCATCAATCAGTACTTAGTAACACCTCCTCTGGCAGATATCACAGCTTGCAAACGCTTTTCATAGCCAGCTAAAAGTCTTTCAATTCTTGTACTTGGGATCTTCTCCCATTCTTCCTTGCAAAAGGCTTCTAGTTCTGTAATATTCTTTGGTCGTCTTGCATGCACAGCTCTTTTAAGATCTACCCACAAATTTTCAATGATGTTTAAATCAGGGGACTGTGATGGCCATTCCAAAACCTTCAGCCTGCGTCTCTTGAGGTATTCCATAGTGGATTTCGAGGTATGTTTAGGATCATTGTCCTGTTGTAGAAGCCATCCTCTTTTCAGCTTCAGCTTTTTTACAGATGGTGTGATGTTTGCTTCCAGAATTTGCTGGTATTTAGTGGAATCCATTCTTCCCTCCACCCGTGCAATGTTTCCTGTGCCACTGGCTGCAACACAACCCCAGAGCATGATAGATCCACCCCCATGCTTAATAGTTGGCAAGGTGTTCTTTTCATGAAATGCTGCTCCTTTTTTTCTCCAAACATGCCTTTGCTGATTGTGTCCAAAGAGTTCTATTTTAACTTCATCAGTCCACAGCACTTGTTTCCAAAACGCATCGGGCTTCTGTAGATGTCCTGTTGCATACTTCAGACGTTGGATTTTATGATGGGGACGCAGATAAGGTTTTCTTCTGCTGACTCTTCCATGAAGGCCTTGTCTGTGCAAGCATCGCTGCACAGTGGAACGGTGCACCACCACTCCTGAGTCTGCTAAATCTTCCTGCAGGTTTTTTGCAGTCAAATGGGGGTTTTGATTTGTCTTTCTGACCAGCATACGAGCAGTTCTGTCCGAGAGTTTTCTTGGTCTTCCAGATCTCATCTTGACCTCCACAGTTCCCCTGATCTGCCATCTCTTAATTACATTTCTTACTGTGGAAACTGCAAGCTGACAACGCTTTGCTATCTTCTTGTAGCCTTCTCCTGCATTGTGGGCATCAATAACTTTCATTTTCAGGGTCTTACACAGCTGCTTAGAGGAACCCATGGTTGCTGGGTGTCCACAAGTGTGTGCACAAGGTTTGAAGAGTCAAAGTATTTGTACAGCTTTGAAATTGGCATTTACCAATGACAGCTGTTGCTGTGCATCAGATCTAACGAGCTGATTAAGGTCTGATACCTTGTGAGAGACTTTGAGACTCTGGAACTCTTAGGGTGCCCAAACTTTTGCACCATGCCATAATCATGTTTTTATTTTTTATTTTTGTTCAATTTATGGCATAAGAAGTAACTATGCATCACTGTTTGCAGAAAATATTGTGCATTTTTTCCATTTCCAAGAGAAACTGTGTTAACATCTGTTCAAATAAAAAATCACCAAAATCTGTTATTTATCAAGGGGTGCCTAAACTTTTGCATAAGACTGTATTCTGCTAGTAAAACTATTTGGACACGAGGACGTTTGCTTACAACATAGTGAGGTGAATGCATCAGCTGTACATTTTACAAGTCTCTGACTTTCCTCTTCTTCTGTCTTGCTCCCTCTTTTCTGGATTATATTCAGGTCTTTGGTATGGCATGGAGCCCAGATGGCAAGCTCCTGGCCACAGTGTGCAAAGATGGGAAAGTTCGTATCTATGACCCTCGAAAGTCCACTGCACCTGTGCAGGTATGTACAACACACAAAGGAATATGGTAGGATAGGGCCTTAAAATAGATGAGATTTATCTTTTGGTGTATGCTGTTAAAATGTTAAAACTTAAGGGGAATGGTGGCCTAAAGCTTAGAGAAGTGACCAGAAGGTTTCCACTTAAATCCCTGAACCAGCAGTATTAAATCATGGTGAGACTTCTGGGAAAGCAGCACTTGCCTCTCCATCATCAACACCACTGTGGTGTCCTTAACCCCAACTGCTCCAGTGAAACAACTCATTGACCAGCAGGTCAGACTGTGGTTATACTGGGCACTGTCCAGGTGTAATTGTGTGAATGTGATTAGGAGTTTCTCAGAAAGTTACTGTCACTAAATAAAAGTGTTTAAAAAGGCAGACATAGCTCCAAGTCACAACTCGGCATAACAAAGTCAAAAACTTAGTTAAATACTAACGTTGTAACTAGGAGTCTCCTCTCAGAAGCATGCTAAAATGTTACCTGGTTGATAAACAACCAAAACGTAAAACCAACAGTGAATAAGAATCACTCCAGTTGGAGACAGTGTTGCTTAATTACTTAAAACCATGGTTCTTTAATGTTTCATTAACTAATCTCTTCTACTCACACTTACAATTTTGTTTTAGGAGGGCCCAGGTCCTGAGGGCCCCAGGGGAGCTCGTGTTGTGTGGGTGTGTGAGGGCAAATACCTGCTGGTGTCAGGATTTGACAGGTACTTAACATGACGAGGCATTTTAGTAAAACCAACATAAAACTACTGTATATTGCTACTGCGGCAGTGGGCTGTTCAAAAGAGGAAGTTGTCCACTGACCCTTCTTGTCCCTCTGCAGTCGCAGTGAGAGAGGACTCTACATGTACTCTGCAGACTCCCTGTCCTCTGGAGCCATAGCCAGCACTGGGGTAGACGTCTCCCCTTCCACGCTCATCCCTTTTTATGACCCTGACACTAGTGTGGTCATCCTCACTGGAAAAGTAAGCAAAAAATATATAGTTTTATCAAAATTACAACTGTCCCAAAACAGGGAATAAAAATTAAAATTACATGTAACGTGTGTTTCATTTGTTTTCCAGGGTGACACCCGCGTTCACATTTATGAGTTGGTCCCTGAAGAGCCGTACTTTATTGAATGCAGCAGTTTTAATTCTCCTGAGCCACATAAGGTACTAACCTCTTACTTTCGTTTAATTTGTTCACATTTTAATGTATCAATCAGTCACAGTACATCTGCATACAGATCCAAAGTGAGAGGGTGTTTACAGTGCCCTGCTTAAAACATCTGTAGTCTTTGTAATGCTGTATGGTTTTGACACTTCTGATTATTTCCTGTCTGCAGGGCTTGGCCTTTTTGCCCAAGACAGAGTGCAATGTGCGTGAAGTGGAGATAGCTGTAGCACTAATGCTCACCAAGACAACCATAGAGCCAGTGGCCTTCAAGGTGCCACGGGTCAAGGTGAATCAACTACACCACCTAGAGGACACATTAGAATTCTGCATGCCTTCCCTCGTGATCCTCCTGTAATCGAGTTCCCTTCTCATTCCCTACCATAACTGCCTCCTCTGTGTGTCCACTCTGTGTCTTCAGAAAGAGTTTTTCCAGGATGATGTATACACAGACACAGCAGTCTGGTGGGAACCAGCCATGACCGTCTCTGCTTGGCTGGCTGGCTCCAACGGCCAACACAAGAAGATCAGCCTGAAGCCTAAAGACATGACACCAGGTGCCAATGCTTTTCTCTGCTGTCTATATGTCAGACATGCTCTGGTCTGTTTGTGGTCAGTGTCGTGTATGTGTTCTTTTGTTCTCAGTGAGTGAGGCCCCCAAAGAGGCACCGGTTAGAAAATACCTGCCCTCCTCTGTTTACCTGGAGGAGAAGACTGATGAACAGAAGAAAGAGGAGGTGAGGTCAAACTTAAATACCGTACGATTGTGTTTCTGCTGTGTGTGTGGTCATTTACACAGTTTGTCTTGCATCTAGCATGTGTATTATACACACTGTATGAACCAGGGCACAGTCCGCATGTACAGTAGTAATTGCTGAACTAAAGCAGAAGTATTTTTTCTGATATGTTTAAATACTAAACATGCGTATATGTCACCCAGCTGCTGAGTGCCATGGTGGCTAAGTTGGGGAACATGGACGACCCGCTGCCCCAGGAGTCCTTCCAGGGGGTTGAGGAGGACGAGTGGGTCAGTGAATGTGATGATCTTTATGTGATATGTAGTACAAAACCCCTGTACAATTTAAAGCATTCTACAATATAGTGGCTGTGCCAAAAAAAATACTAATGTGTGTTTTATTTAGTTTTTCTTGAGATTGCTCTTCAACTCACTGTAATTTTAAGCAGTTATGTTGATTTTATCTCTTTTGTTACAAGCACTGAGTTGTCGTTGACTAGAATTTGTTTGATAAATATGGGCCCTTTCAAATTTTTAAGGAGGCTATGAGACTGAAATGAATCAATATTTCATTTTGTTAGTTGTTTTTATTATAATGAACTTAGAATCATTAAAACTAGCAACAAAATTATGAGACAAACCAGGCCAATGGGATATTGAGGTCCATCATCTAACTGTGGCTTCTCTGTCATCCAGGATGACTAGAGGGGATGTCAGTTTGCCTTTGCTTCAGTCATGGTGCCAACACAGAAGACGGATCAGTTCAAGTTCGATGTTACCACTCTTGAGGTGCAACGGTGCCACCCAGGCATCATCTGAGCGATATCAGCTAACATCTCGGCCTGCTGCACACACAAAGAACACGTGAAATAATCTTCAACAAAGTCTATAAATGCCCTGGCTTTGTGTTCTGGGACAAAATTCTCCATCTATCACAGTATCTGTTTCGGTATTGAAAATCATATGTCTTGTTGATGCTGATCAGACCCATGAAATCTTATATGAAAATCATTTTAGCTGGAATCCTTAAATAATTCAAAGGTCACTCTGTAATAATTCTGACTAATTCCTTTTTTAATGGTTAGGTAAACAATATAAATATTTTACCTTGATGAAAATATTTAGACAAACCCACCCTAAAAGGTGATACAAGAAAAATTATAAGTAAATACACATAAATCATTCAGTATATAAGGACAACTCAAAGATTTCTGGTAAACCATTGTCAGCACAATGTGAGTAAAACTGCAGACAATCATAGCAATAATACCGCATGTTTATGCTACATTACCAGTTAACTGTCACTGGATAACACAGACTTAACTACAAGCTACACTGACTACAAACAAATGATGAGTATTTTAGCACAGCATTTTATATGTGGTATGTGGCCACAATACAATCTGAGATGTCCTAATCTGTAATTTTTTTGTTACCGGGATACCAGACTGTGAATTACTGTGTACAAAGTTGTCCATAGTATGTGCACATTTATCCCTACTGGAACATTACTTGGTTTTTCTACTGGCCATGTCATATGATCACACTCAGTCACAATGTGTCTTTGAAAAATTTAATGTTGCAAAAAAAATGAACGAGTGAATAACAAGTGAACAATGTGCATCTGACCTTGTCTTCCTGTTTGGTCAGGTAAAACACACGTGCTTATTGTAATATGTTGAAGCCTTCAGCAGCAAAAACCACACTGAGGATTAAACAGGGTGACCAGTATTCATGTTTGACCATGAACTGGAGTTTCTAATCATAAAAACATTCACAGTTTACTTATCTTTTTTAGAATAAAATGCAATTTTATCATAAATATGCATTTCTTTATTGGTGCCAGTTAGATTGGGTTGAATGTTTTGCTATCTCACAGGTATGTACAGCATATGCAAGAGTTAAAGGTCAATAGAAACAAAATGCTTTTATGCACTGAAAGCCAAACCACCTCCTTTTTGAGTTTTAAGCAGGACCTTTGGATACCTTTACATGGTTCCTTCCTTCTCTTGTTTGCTGGACTGTTTCACTTTCACCTTTGACCCTTGTTGATTTTCAATTTATTTCGGGGATATTCCCACTAAACAAGCTAATTTTCTTACCTAATGTTAACGTGTTAGTAGTCATGGTGTTATTTAGACAGTAGCAGTACAGTATTAATAACTTACAGCGCAGCCATAAGAGCCAGTCTAATTGTAACGGTCTAATCAGGGTTACAGCAATATCATCAGTCTTGGACCGACTGAGTTTGTTTACAACCTCTGATGGACTGAGACCATCTGATACAGCCATGCATGATTGTGTTGTACACATGAACTGCTGATGTTAGGTGTTTGTGCGATGTATACTGTATGTAATTGTAATTCTTAAATGCCATACTATGTAATATTTGGGTTGGATTAACTTGCCTTTCTTTTTTACAGTGAGTAAAGCTTTTTTTCATCTTACTTGAGTAAATGGTTTGTAGTTTTTTAGTATTGTCTTGTAAATGCCTTTTAAATGTATTACTTACTTGTCTTTGTGTGATTAGGTGACCATGTGACAGTGTGTATATGTGTATCTGTCTATCTATAGCTAGCTAACTGTCTCACTCATTTTAGTGTGTGTGTGTGTGTGTGTGTGTTGCATATATATTATAATGCAGTAATTTTACTGTGTAAATCAATCCATTTATTATCTATACCACTTATAAATAAAGGATAGATAAAGACTAACATTATTTTAACCACATTTGCTGGCACACTACCTGTTAGCCAGCGGCGGGGGAAACCCTGCAGTTTCCCTTCCCTGCCAGTAGGTGTCAGTAGTCGAAATACCAGCGTCCACCAGATTTTTCTCATATTTTGAATTGTTGGCTCTTTCTTGACCTCTGACCCTGATATAACCTTCACTGTTATACATGTGTGAAAACAGCACGCACAGCTTTTGGAAAGTATATCATATAAAATGGTAAGAGTACATTTTGTAGTACGTGTGCTTATGTTCTCAGAGTTATAACTAGTGAGTCAGCGTAGAGATGTAATGTTATTTAGCATTAGCTGGATTAGCTGTGTACTTGTCGCAGTTGTTAAGCCTTCTCTTCTTCACTGGGGCTGTATTAGGTAGTTTGATATAGCTATCTTAGGTACCAGAATGTTAGCTAATGTATGTGTAAAGAGGACGGAGGGGCTTGTGTAAACGCTGTCACACTGTTGACAGCTTGAATGGGGATGCAGGTTTACATCCACCGGTCTGAAAATCAGTTAAACCTTATTTTTTAAACGCATTCAGTTCTCTGTAATGTAACTTGTTAAAACTTGGACCTTTTTTTTCTTCTTTTTTTAAGTTATAAAATGACAATAACATACATGTGCCACGGGTTAAGGGGTACGTAAATCAGAAGGGGGAAGATAAACAAGCAAACGCCAAACAGTACGTCTTTGTGTAGTAAATAAGTATGTCTTAGATTTGTAATTTATTCTTGTCCCTTTGGTGCTGCAGGCTAAATATCTTGCACAGATCATTGTGATGGGAGCACAGGTGGTGGGACGTGCGTTTGCTCGCGCCTTACAACAAGAATATGCAGGTATGATCATGTCTGTAACACACAAACATTGTAAACCTAGCATGTAAATGGCTTAAATAAGATTGGTGAAGTCATTTATCAAGCAGAAATGCAAATAATTTATATGTTTGTGCTTCTAAACTGAATATTTAGATGCATTCTCTGTATCATTGTAAACTGAGTCTTTGTTTTGAGGCAATGATCAGACATTTTCAGCGTTTGAGTACAATTTTATAGACTAAAAGCACAAAATTATTGACGGGTCAGTTAATATTTAAAAAGTTATTTAAGCAAGGGTTGGGTGATGTGGCAACAAAGGGGCCCTTTTGCAGCACTATGAGGTCCCAACACTTGTCTGCATTATATCTTACCTCACAGCGAGTCAAGCAGCCGCGCGGGCCAGGGGCAGAACCGGCCAGCAGTCAGCGGCAGCCTCCAGCATCACCGGAATGACCCTACAAGAGGCGCAGCAAATCCTCAATGTCTCCACACTAACCCCTGAGGAAATTCAAAAGGTTCAAGAACACTCTTTGCCTCGTTTAGGGCTTTTTAGTGGATAAAGTGTTGGCACTGGGCTGCAGAGCTATTAACATTCACAGGATTTTATGTTCACTGTAGCCTACATGTTCTACAGTGAGCTGTGCCCATAACCTGCTGCTCTGTCTGCATTATTAGAGACATTGTTTTGTTCCTTATGCTACAAACTGTAACTCTTTAGTTCCAGAAGTAAGGGAAACAGATTTGTAGCTTCTTGATAATTGCTTCCCAAGGATTTTCCAAACTCAGTCTGTCTTTTAACTATGAAACACTAATGTCCTTTAGACATTAGTGTTGTCGTTGGAAAATATTATCAAGGCTAGTCCTATATTTATAAAACTCTGTCTAAACTTTGTCAAGCTGTAAAGTCCATATCCAAGATTTTGCTGCTTTGTGAGTTAATATCATCAAATTGATGTGACATGATGCTTGATTTTGGTGTTACTTGACTATTTGTCAACATTTTCAACCTTGGTTTACCTTCTGCTGTAACAGTGATCAGAAAATGTGTGTGTATGTGTCCTGTTGTTGCTGTTGTGCTGAAGATTGTATGATGTTACTTTAATGCTAACACTAATGGGTTTCTCTCTTCCAGAAGTATGAACACCTTTTCAAAGTCAATGACAAGTCAGCGGGCGGTTCATTTTACCTACAATCAAAAGTAAGTAATCTGTATCTTATGACACAAGATGTTTCACTTTTTTGTTTTCTAAGTAGATGTTGCCACATACTAAATTTGTCTGGGTCAACATGTAAAACAAATCCCTCATCTTTGTCAGTGTTTACCCTGTTAACCCTGCAGACCAGGTGACCAAACCATGATGTTAAGTTAAAGGTTGGCACACACTGAGTTTAGTAGACTTGTCTCCTGTCTCCTAAAAGACCATTTAGTACAATACAGGTTCATTGTGAAAAACTGTTCACTGCGGCCTGTTTATCTGTGTTATTGTCATTTTGCATTTTCTTTATCTTCAGTGTTTTCATGCTTTTTACAAAATGTCATGGTTTTGTGGTGCCAATCCCGATGAGATATATAAATACAAATTTGGAGCATGTGCTGCTGGTAACAGTGATACTCAACGGTGCTCTTAGTCACTCTGTTTGCTTGTTTTACTCATCTCATCCAAACTGGTCCTCTTTTTGTCATTGTGTCTGTGCTAAATGTCAAGCTGTGACTGAGCGTGTAGGAGGAATCAACTCGGAACTGAGTTGTGTCTGAAGTGAAATTTTTACCATTTTTATCTCCCACCAATTCTTCTGTGCTCTTAATGAACTATTATGTTATTTTAAAAATGTCTCCCTTTCTCTCAGCTGTTGTCATTATTATTATCATCATGTGTGTGTTTGTATGTAGGTGGTGCGGGCTAAAGAGCGTCTAGATGAGGAACTAAGTATTCAGTCGCAACAAGAAAAGCAGCAGTCACAACAGAACACAGAAACATGAAGTATAAAACGATGCTTGCCCTGTTGCTCCTCTCCCCATCCTATGTAAATTATAACCCAATAAAAACCTCCTTTTTTTGTCTACTCTTGATTTTGTGACTTTTTGTGGACAATGTCATAAGACAGAGAAGCACTTAATATGGTTTGCAAAGATCCGTTTTCAAGTACTAGTGTTGATGCCAGCACGTTAGTTTAGTGGGGCAGAATCACATCTGCCTGACTTCTTTGTTAACAATCATGTTTCTCTAATTTGTTTTAATTGTATATTGTAGCAGAAATGAAAAACTCGAAGTATCAAATGCAACTTTATTAAACAGTTTTGTTTTCATTGACATTATTATCAATATCGTAATAAAATTCCTCTAAAACAGGAGAACACCACTATGTTGTACCAATTGGAGACGTTTACAACTCTAAAATTCTGCATGTTCAACCACAGAACATGATGCCAGGAAAAATATATTTTCATATAATCTTTTTTTCATATAGTGTATAACTTCTATTTTTGAACCTATAATAAAAAGGCACTTGGAAAAATTAAAATACTGACATATCTCACAAATGTGCAAAAAACAGAACTTGGAACAGGCCTGGCATGGCCTTAGTCTTATCATTAACCCTTTGTGCAACTCTGTGGCGCTTCAGTCAGTGACATGTCTTTACAATGACACTGCCCTGGCTAGCTAGCGCAGATTTTGTGCCCCAGATTTCTGTTCTACTTGTCATATCAATAAGTGAAGGTGACTTTAAAATCTCCAGGAACAAGTACCGCTGTTATAAGGCCAAAAAAAAAAAAAGACTTTCAACTCAGGCAATTTTATCAGCTGAGAATAATTTTACATTTTTACTTGTTCCTAAACAACTGAAGAATAACTAAAAGTATGTGTACATGATATAGGGGGAACAAAAGTGCAGCTTGTTACAGACTGAGCTCAGAGGGTTAATGGATCATACAGCGTATTTAATATTTAAAGGATGTGGACCTCGGAAAGGTCCGTGTCATATTATTCAGCTTTTTGCCGCTGTGCTGAGTCTGTTCCTGGCTTCAACCAGCAGAGGAAAGAGACAGACGGAGGAGGAGGAGGGGGGAACCGCAGCATCTGTGGGTTGTACTGTTGCCACGGAAACCATGTCTAGCCTATTTAACACCTGTTTCTGATGACATCACATGCCAGAATTGTCCACTCACAAGAGATTCTCTTCAATACCCAGCCTGGACCCAGAGACAGGCCGCTGGCATGAGTGAGGGAGGCAGAGTGTGTTTGAAATGATGATCACTAAGAATTACTGAGGCAGAAACACAGGTGTGCAGTTCTTCTCTGCTGGGAATTGTTGTGGACCCTGTCTGTGGTCCTCAGTCAGGGAAGATTGTATTTGCTTTTGTTTGCCTGTTTCCCCCATCTCTATTAAAAAGCTTTGTGGCTGGGAGGTGGGGGAGTTGAGCCATTTGGGCTTAATCTATAAGAAAGAAAAGAGAGAAAACCCAGAGGGCAGGCAGAGTTCAGTGGCCTAGTTTTCTGTAGGCTGGTGCGCCTGTGAGTGGCCACCACACTGGGCGCAGCCAGTGACTTCAGAGCTGAGAGGGTCATTTGCTGGGTAGGTGGCCAGATAGAGGGCGGCTACACAGTGCAGCTATCATCTGCCTCTTTTCCTATGCTGGCACACAGCCTCTCCCGTCATCTCTCTCTATCCCCTCTCCATTCATTTATTCATTCAGCCAATCCTGTCTCTCTTTGCTCTCACACTCTCCCAGTGCTGCCTGCCATTTTGCAGTCAAAAGTTATTTCTCTATGCTTTATTTGACTGTGAAAACTAAACTTCACAACAAAGGGAGCAGAGTTTGCAAATTTATTTGAACCCCAATTTAATCCCAAGGTATTTTACTGTTAGGACACTAAGTACAGAAATACACTGTATATACCCATACATGAACATATTCTTAACAGATCAATTTAATAGGGAGGAATGTCATTTGATCCACCATACTGGCCCATTAGAGCAGTGGTTTCCAGAAGGGATCACAACCCCTTAGAATAAAGCAATAAACCCACATTGTTTCACTTTAAGGTAAGCATCAGTATTTCACAAGAAACAGGCCTACAAGCCTACAGCTGTGCTAGCAGCTCCGTGAGGCTGTATTTGTTGCACAGCTGTGTTTTGAGCCAAATACGAACATAAGCACGCTCACATGCTCACAGTGAAAATGCAATATGTTTAGCAGGTAATATTTATCTGATTCACCAACTTAATTTAGTGAATTAGCATGCCGATGTTTGTTAATTAGCACTAAACACAAAGTTTGGCTGAGGCTGAAGGGAATGTCTTTAGTTTTGCAGTTATTTGGTCATAATGCAAAGCAATGCACAAATTTAAATTCAGACCCAGTGGTAGTGCTAGATGAAAACTTGAGGGTTCACTAAAGTTATTACAGTTAATCCTGAGGGGGGCAAAAATGTTTCTGCAAAATTTCACAGAAATCCATCCAACAGTTGATGAGATAATTCACTTAAAACCAAAACAAAAGTCATCCTCAGAGTGGCACTTTAAAATTTAGGGCCCAACCAAAGTCAGTAGGATTCATTCTTTGAGGACCATGAATGTCTGTGGAAAACTTCATGCTAATCCACACTATCACTGTTGAGATATTTCTGTCTAGACCAATAGGCTGACCAACCCCCAGCCTGGGAACCGCTGCCCTGGACGACCACCCAAACCTCTTCCTCTAGTCAGCCAAAAGACTCACCCTCGACAGCAGAAAGCTGACTGCAAAGCAGCCACTGCTGAACACAAGAAGCAACTTCAACATCAGATTAAATGTCTCGTCTGAACAGCAAAAAATAATGACAAACATATAAAACAGCAATAACTGATTATTTCTAAGACAGAGATGGAAACGTAAGGCCACCAACATAAGCAGATGAAGAGAGATGGAGGAGCAAAAAGAGAGGACAATTGAGTCTCTTGAGGGAATGTTCCTTGTGTTATGATGATCCTCTCCTGCTCCCCTACCTCTCCTCCGTGGAGACAGCAGTCAACATCATACATGCATTAGCACTGAGCAATACAATCCTAGAAGGACCCCACAGCGCAACTGACCCTTAGAGAAAAATTGGGTAAGAGCAAACTAGTTTATAAAAATACCATGACTTGGCAGTAACATTTTGTAAAACATGTAAGAAGTTTCTGATAAGTGCATGTTGACTGCTTAATCGAACCATGAGAAAAGTTTCCCCAGAAGTCAAATGTGTCGTGTTTGCCCTTTTGGACAGAGTAAAATGAGGCAGTTTGCAATAGTGTGGCTTTCTAGTCAGTCCAGCTGTATGTGGCACTGAGTGCGTCACACCACCCTCTGAAGCACAGCACATAAAACCCATTCTTCCCTCTCCAGGTATTTTTGGCACAGCATAAGACTTGGGACAAAACTTCAACCGACAAAGCTTAGTTTGGGTTTTTGACTGGGTGACCACCTGTTTCTCACAGATGGTTTTGTGTCTGATGACGTTTTGTGTCTTAATAAATACAAGACACTTGTGTTTTTCAGCACAGTGTCCCTTTCATGCCCAAACTGGCTGTGCTTATTCGCTTACGGGAAAATCCAGGAGCAAAACAGTGCTAGTTCTATAAATTCCGAGGGGGATGGTAGTATTGTGTACAACCAAAGGGGGGAGCCAGACAGGCCAGTGCTTGAATTTCACTTGTGTAAAATGATTGGTCATTGTCAGGTGATGCAACACCATTTGTCTGTAAGTCCTCAGATTGCTCTGTGCTCTAAAAGCCCCTTGTCTGCACGCCTGGCACACATCCTAGTGGACTAAGCTGGTCCATATTAGTTACCCTCCCCGAACTGGGGACAGATTGTCAAAAGTGCTCTCTCCCAGTTTATGTTGCACTGAGGAAGCCAAGAGAATAGCAGCAGTTTTGAGGTTTCAACACAATTACTACTTTACATTATTAAGTTTTGTGTTTAATTGAACTGTCTCAGAGATGAAGCTGCAGCTATTTCCTGCACAAATCCAAGACAGTTTGAGTTCACTTGCTTTGGTATGGCAAGCTTGTCTGAGTCACATTAATCACAGTAGCCTGTGAAAAATAGGTCATAACTTTAAAGTCAGCTGTGTAGAATCTCACTAATATGTGCATGTTTGCCTAACTGTGAGTGCGTCATTCGGTTTCACGGTGTATCTGTCTCACTGCTAAGCGGGAGGCACACTGTTGACGAAGTACACTGATATAAATATTTATCAATGAATCAGGACTTTTGTAAAAACACAGAGCACTAAGACTGTCATGTTCATGGTCCCTGTCCACAAAAACAAGCAAACATGAATGAGTCGAGTATAAAATAAACAAGAAGCCTGCTGGCAGGTCTTGTGATAGAAATTCCAAACCATGCATGTTCCTGAACAGAGTTCTAGGGCCCCTTGGTTTCCCAACATTAAAAGAGGCTTGCGTTGTATTCTTAGTTCTTGTGAGGTTTCGTGTTACTGTATCTATTGTTTTCTTGATTGAAGTTTTGATAAGTTTCTCTGTCGTTTTATCCCGTTCCACCTTCCTCGGAAATGATTGTGCAAGACAATCCCTATCAGCTTTGAAAGCCCATCCCCACAGTATGGTGTTCACCATCCCACCCAACCCCCTGAGCTCTTCTGGAATGTGTGTGTATGCGTGTATCAGTTGACCACAGCTGGTTTGAGCACCACGGTGCCTGGGGGGATGACCACCCAGGACAAGGGATCATGAGACCCTCCAGTGGAGAGATTCAGGACACCTCCATTCACCTCATTCTCGGCTTCTTCCCCCCGGTTCTTCTTGCTTTGCTGGCCCTGAGCCCTGTGCTCAGACATGGCTCCCAGCACGGGCACCATTGGCAGGCCCAGAGCTGAGGAGGTGAATGCCGGGGAGAGCAGAGAGGACTTGGCCAAGCCCAGTGGGGAGCCATTGAAGGACAGGATGGGTGTGCTTCCCAGGCTGCCTGGAGGTGAGTTAGGGCAACCCAGAGTGCTGAGGTCCAGGGGCCGAGGACTGAGGGGGGACAGGGGCAGAGCACCACTCAGGCCCTGGAGAGCATGGCCTCCCAGGAGAGCAGCTGCTGCCCCTGGGATGATGATGTGAGCTCCGCTTACATAGGACAGCTCTGAATCCTTCCCCCCTCCACTAGCAAGCCCTCCACTCTGGCTGCCTTTAAGGAGGGGGCCCACCCCACCTGAGCTGCCCTGCTCCTGCACCACAAAGTGGCCATGGGCTTTGATGTGCTTGCGGAGAGAGCTGGGGTCTGTGTAGCGCTTCAGGCAGCCCACCATCTTGCAGTAATAGGGCTTGTCTACATAGTGTGTGCGTGTGTGTTTGAAGCGGTCGCTGGAGTTGGAGTAGCGTTTGTTGCAACCCTCGTACGGACAAATGTAGGGCTTTTCACCTGCAGGGGAGAGAGGGTTGAGATGTTTTGTCCAAAATGAATAAAAGATAAATTAGGCATTGCATCTCATATCCAAGGATCATGATCCCCCAACCACATAAAGATTTAAAGCTCTACATCAGTGTTCATTTTAAAGCTACTCATGCATAACTACAATTAGATGTTTTCACATGATGCTTCAACAATGGTTTACAACTGTTTGTTATTTGTGTTTTGTAACACACTGGGTGTAGCACCACCACCACCGACCTGTGTGTGAGCGGTTGTGTATCTTGAGGTTCTCCAGACGTGAGAAGCTCTTGTTGCATGTGGGACAGCGGTGGGGCTTCTCATTAGTGTGAGTGCGGATGTGTATGAGCATCTTGTACCTGCAGTCAGAAGAAAAACAAGCTCATTATATCAGCTTACTCTTGAATTCTCTTTATAAACACTTTGTAAATCATGTATGATTTTTTTTTTCACCTAGCATTGAAACCCCTCCCTTTGCGAGCACAGCCCTCCCAGTGGCAGCAGTACCCAGAATCCTTCTCAGGCTTAACATGGAAGTCATTGACATGGTCAACCAGGTCTTGCAGAGAGTCAAAGAGCAGATGGCACTGGAGGACGGCAAACATTAAGTATTTCAAAACGAGATCTGATCCTAGTTCAGCTGTAACAGTAAAATAAAATAGGTTTCCTTACCTTCCTCCAGTGGCAGGCCAGTTGTTCATCTGCTGACAGGTCGGGAGAGACTCTCTTATCGCTTGTCTGGCCGATGAACATGGAGGACGGCAGGTGAAGTCCCGCCCCAGCTCCGATTGGCACAAAAAACTGAAAGGCCTGCGAGATGTGAGAATTCTGATTAACAAAAGGGCCAAAAAAAAAGGGAATAAGAGCAAATGAGGTTCATCTTCCTTCTGAACCACTAAGAGGCACTGTAATGTTATTGTAGTTCATGTTTGCTGTAATGTGTGCCTGAAACGCATCAAAATTAAATATATGGGTCCTTTTTATGGTCTCACAGGACAACAAATGGATCAAAATAGCATAACCAATGCAAAACCCGCCTTTGTAGCTGGCAGTATGAGCTTTGATGGTTAGATAGCACATTACAGATCACATCATTGAGAACACAGGAGTCATAGACGACTGGTGTCCATGGTGATGTGCAAATGGTTTACAAGGTGCAGAGACACAAACTCCTGCTTTTGGGAATGGAGTACAGAACTGTTCATCTTCCTTTTGTTCTTTAAAAATCCCCTCTACTTTTTCTCTTGTAGTGACCTGCTGCATGCTATCCCTACATTGCTGAGCTAATGCACTGGCTCACACGCACAGTGTTACCTAGCTCACGCAGAAAACAGACAAGCCTTGATTAAATGATGAAATTAGAATAAGGGACACATGCTCAGAGTATAAACGTCCCTACTCTTATGAGGGTTCAACTGAGAGGGAATTGGATTAGGCAGCATGAGGTCTGCATGGTTATAACTAAATCTAAATCTAAATCTGATTACACATGTACACACACACACACACCATGGCAGTAGGACCACTGAGTGCAAGTTGCTCAGACAGAAGCACTTGCTGAGGAGACAAGAGGTGTTTGATAAGAGCTGACCACCCCCCACACCCACACAGGTTCCTGCCCCTTGCATAGGTAGCCTGATTCTCTTAAATGACACAACCCGATGTTCAAGGTTCAAAGTTCAAAGTGTTTATTGTCATATGCACAGTAAGGAAACATGTTTCCCTGCACAATGAAAGAGTGAAATATAAAGCAGATAAATAGTAGCACAAAATCTAAAGGCACTTTAAACAACGAGTGAAAAGAAATATAATAAGAACACAATAAGAGATAATGTATGCTACATCGGAGCTGTATGTGCAATAGTCAGCAGTGGGTGTGCAACTGAGCTTGTAAACAGTACAGGTGGAATTACATGAAGTACTGTCATGTTGTTCCTGATTTGCTGAAAGACCATGTTTATTCTTTCAACAGCACAGAAATGAATGAAGAGAAAGGAAGGGGGAGATGACAGAGGTATTGTTGGGCACAATAAAAGCTGGTAAAAGCTAAGGCAGAACACCTGTACTGGCATCTTTCTATGGTTGTGTGGACAAATGTTAATTTGAAACCATCTTTATGAACATTTTGGTCCTTACAACTTCCAAGTGCTGTTTGAAGGTTAAGACTTAGAATTAGGTTTAGGTTATGGTTAGGATAAGGGCTAGGAAGGCCAACATCTGTGCAGATGTGTGTGTATTTGAGCTTCATCATACTCACCCCTGAGGGGACGTAGTTGCCGTTGGTCATTTCTGGAGAACTGGGGGTGTGGCGGGACGATGGAGACATGCTCAGGTCCACCGCAGGGGGGGTAGGGGTGTCTGTTCGATCCTGGGGGACCGCCTGCCCTCCTGACATCATATATACACACACCCAGTAAGAGGACCTCTCACTGCAGGGACACTGCTTTTACATTCTCCCCTTTTCTCAAACACACTTGTGTTTTGTTTTCATTGCAGTGTGACCTACCTGTGGGAGGAGAATCTGGTGAAGCTGGCTCTATGACTGCAGTGCCATCATCTGCCATGCGGAGCTGCCGAGCCCGCTTGGGGTGCAGTAGAGAGAAGGGGGCCGAACACACACCTCTGTCCCACCCAGTGGACCGCCGGGGGAGCTTAAGGTCCAAGGGCTCGTCTAGGGACAGCATGACAACAACCCACCAACCTCCCACCTGCACAAACATCCAGTCACAGGGTCAGAGTTGGCCCAAGTGGGGTCATGGTAGGATAACTTAGTTTTGATATAAACACATACAAGAAATGCTGCATTCCAGCAGGAAACAGTGATAGACTGCAGAAGACAGTCTCACACCGGCAGTATTTCCCACATGAATGTTTTTAAAAGTATGGCATATTCCACAACCCCACTGGGTAAGAAATACCCTCCAACAATGGTAAACATTCTACAATCGTAAGGTGAAACAGTGAGTAAGCCAAAGAAAAATAAACAAATGCGCACACATGTAGAGATTTTAGTGACACCCCCCCTTCTTTTTCCCTGCTGACCTTTACTCACACACCTCATGAGAAATGTCTATAATCCAATCCAGATGGTCACTGTTAGCCGTCCTTTACCCCGCCCCTTGACCAGTCACTAGCCCTGTAACATCACCCTCCACCCCAGCAAACTCTCACCCCCACAGCATGCACCAACAGACTCCACAGCCCCACCAGCAACCCCCCAGGACTTCAAGTCCAGCTGCAGTCACTCCATCCACCTCCTCCCTCCTCTAAACACACTGACCTCTGGACCCAGCCTGAGGGCTATGGCTAGGGTGCTTCATCTCGCTGACCTTTTGAGTTCCTCAGCCACCAGACTGACCCAACATCACCATTTTGTACGATGCAACAAATTTAGCAAACACAAACACAGAGATAAACAAGTATAGACTTTCACTCAAGCCAAATGTAAATAAATGCTGAGTCTATTCTTCACCCAGAGTTTGCTTCACACATAGACAGCAGTGCTAGTACAGTGCTGATTGTTTATAGCTAAGCTCTCCATTCAACTTACACCTTCTCACCAGGCTCAAACACACACACACACACACACTATCTTCCATGTAAACACGCAGACAGAAACAGTTGCAGAGTGTCCTATATTCCTGCTCAGGTTCATGTAGAACACCTCCCAGTGTGCATGTGATGCACACACAGTCACACTTACAAAAACACTCACACAAGTAATTAACCAACCTGTAATTTTCAGCAAATTCATCCTTCCTCTCTCTCCCTCACACACACCAGCACACACTCACAGAAGCCACAGTTGGTAGTGAATGTGGGCTTTGAGAGTGACTGGCCAGGGGCCACATGAGAGGCCCTTGTGTCTGGGAGGCACAGGACAGAAGTCACTAGGTTCACCAGCCCAACAAGGGATGGCCACCAGCTCACACGTACACACTCATATAGCACACAGCCAGCAGGGGCGTAGATTCCCTCAGCCATGGATAAGATGTTCATATAAAACAGAGTAACATACTGTATGAACATGCACCCAAGCCGCGCTCACATGCGCATAAAGAAACATCTTAGAACAAATAACCTTTGGTTTTTAATCTGATTACAATCTACTGATAAGCACATGACCTCAGGTCCTGTTTGACGGGCACTTTAGAATGACTTAGCACTGCAATGTCAGGGATAACCCCACAGAAGCACACCTTATGTTAGGAGTAGGGCATTTATCAGAATTAGGAAAGTTACAACCAGTCAGTAACAAAATCAAATAGGTTTCAAAACTACATTGGAATCATAAGAAGAAGAGGAGGAGAGGAGGACAGATTAGAGCAAACACTTTCAATGTACACATGTAGGTTAAGACTGACTGGTGAACACATGTGAACGTCTCCTTTAAATAAGTTTGACATTTAACAGCTACACTAAAGCCCACTTGTGTTTACACTGGCTCTTGGGGGAGTATGTGTCTAATAATGTCTCCATTGTCCTAGATTTTTCTGTTACACCTATACAGGCTGTTAAACAAACGGATTTAACAACATCAGTATTGCAGATTACTCCTTGACATGTACTAAATGAATCATTTCTATTAGTTAAACCCAGCTCCGTTGTGTAAAGGAGGAGAACTAATGACTGATTTGACCACAGAGAGTTTGTTATGTGGGCATACACATCTTTAGCTGTGAAAATAAACATGTTTAGATCTGTCAGACTGGATATGATCCTCATTCAGAATGAGTCATGGTTAATCCCACATCCCGCTCTGACTCCTGTGGACAAGGTGAATATGACTAACTTACTGTAACCCCCAACCCTGCCAAGAGTTTGGGCTTTCATGTTTGGTTAAAGTAGCAGAAAATCTCCTGAAATCCACTTTAAAAGAGTAAAAAGCCTTACCCTGAGGCACAGACCAGGGATCAGCTGGCCCTTTCTACAAATCCTACTCTCATCCACTGCAGGGACAAACAGCATATTGGCCCCCCATCACTGTTATAATCCATTGTAAACACAATGAGAAATAGATATGGAACTTCTGGAGCCATAAAACTCAGAATATAAAACAATTTGGCCCCTGTCACTGTAGGACAGGCTGAGAGTCCAGGGGTCTCCACACACAAAAGTACTTCTCTGACAGCTGCTCCAAGCACAAACCAGTGCTATATCTCTATAACGGACTGTATAGCTCATCTTTTTCAAGTATTATGCAGACTTCTCCATGGGAAATCGCATAGTATGATTTTTAAAGAATTTATTTGTCTTGCACTGTTGAGCATAAGTATTTGAACACCTGAGAAAATCAGTGTTAATATTTGGTACAGAAACTTTTGTTTGCAATTACAGAGGTCAAACGTTTCCTGTAGTTCTTGACCAGGTTTGCACACACTGCAACAGGGATTTTGGCCCACTCCTCCACACAGATCTCCTCTAGATCTGTCAGGTTTTGGGGCTGTCGCTGAGCAACGCGGAGTTTAAGCTCCCTCCAAAGATGTTCTATTGGATTGAG